TGAGTACTAAACATTTAATAATGTTTTTATAAATTTTATATTATTAAGAATTAGACATGTATAAACTAAATAATTTAAATAATTCTTAAAATTATCAAAATAATCACCATAACAGTTTTCGACTTTTTAGTAATATGATTACGTTCATGAATGCTCGTGACTATACGTGACTTTTTCGGATTATTAGCTTAGTTAGGGACATTTTAATTAGTTGGTAGTACTATGACGAATGACCGACGTCATTGCTGACGTGCATCGGGATTTGTATTAAAAATACTATAGTAGTTTTCAGGTATATTTATACATTTGCGCTATTTACTTTCCCTTTAAAATGGATTTAGACGCGAAAATAATAAGAATTTTTATTCAATACAGATACATTTTAGACAAATTGAGCAACAACTTTTTTAATTATAAAAGGTAGTAGTGTAAAACTATCCCCGTACACTATAATACTCCCCTTTTCCAATAGTAATAACATCTTTTAAATTTGTTTGTACTTTGACTCGTGTTTTTAAAATGATTAATTATTTAGGAAAGTAATAGCGTTGTATGAAGATTATATAGTAGGGTAACCTTATGGACTTATCATTGGAGGACGATGGATATAGAATGTAGATGGCGACACTGTACTTATATCCAAGTCAGGTCTTTAGGTCATGTCTGTGCTTGAGTATGAATTATAATTTAAAATCTTCTTTTTCATTTATACTTGTCTTCGGTAATGTATTTGTATAGTTAATATTTACTATTGCAAATTATTACAAAAGGGTATTTGAAGGTCACATAAAATACCAAAAAAATCAATATAATAAAATAAACCAGTTTTTGTTTGAAAAAGATTGAATGATTTAAGATTGGATGGAATTTTACTATAATAGGGGAACTTTTTTGTTCTATATTGTGGTTGGATTTTGGATTGATCGCTGATGGTTAATTAAAACTTGAATTTTAGGCTGTTTATTTTTATTCACTTTTATATAATGGTATCAAATTAAGAATAGGACATGAACAACTGAAGATTATTTATTATTCAAAATGAGTCGAATAGACGAAAATAAAAAATGCTTGGATAAAATATTCTGAAATACAGGATGTTAAGTTGAAAATTAAAAAATTAATAATGGATAAATATAAAGGTGTAGTTATAATTTTTTTATTCAATATAATTTTACTAAAATCGGCACTGACAAAATTTAACTAACAGTTTTTTTGCTGTTAGGTAAACTTATAATACCAAACACGTTTAGTGAAATTATACTAAGTAATAAAAACATTTAAGCCACTAATTTTCAGTTTTCAACTTTTATCACCATTTGAAAACGAATCGAGTACCAATTTATGATAACACAGTAGCACATTTAGGAGTATTATTTTCGAAAGGCAAAATTACACATTTTTCATTTATTTTTTTGTATATGGAAATACTTTCCTGCATGCCCTACAGTGATGAAGCGCTCAATGAAGGCGTCTTAAAAAATAAATTATAGAAAATGCGAATGTTACATATTTGATTAGATAATTAACATTGACATAAACCTTCATTGCTCAGGACGTTAAGTGCTCAACTTTGGATTTCATAAAGTTCAGTTACCGACTACTACTATTTTTTCTGAACTGTTATCAAAATACTATAAAATTTAGCAGAAAGATTGCATTAATTGTATTTTTATATTTTTTCCAAAATAAAAAAGAATGTTTTTATCTGTAATTGAATCCGGGTTGGGAAATCCAAACTTGAACGCTTAACGACTTAAGTCTTGAAGGCACTTATATCAAGTTAATTATCTAATCAAATATATGACGTGGCTTTTAAAAATACCATCATTGTGCGCTCCACTGCTGGTGTGTCCATCTTCTACAAGAGAAAAAGAAGGAAACATTTGTAAAGTTGTCTTGCACAAATGTGTACCAAAAATGAGCAACTGGCTCTCTTAAGCCTTTTTCTTTTTCTTTTAATCATTTCATTATTTGAACACTAAACGCCAGCATGGGAAATATATGTTAAAGTTAGTTTTAAGAACTTTTAACATTCAAATAAACAAAAACAATTTATAAATCTATTATTAAAATCCGCGTTGGAACAAAACATGTAAAATTGTTGAATTTGAAAGATATTCTAAAAAGGGAAAGGACTTCGGTCGAGAGCCTATTGGACTGAATATTCAGTTCAATCAATGACAATTATTAATATTACTATTCTTAAATATTTTGTTGTTTAATTTACTTGTAAATTTATGTGTGAATATATTTATAAATTACACTGGTCACCAGTGATTTTGTGGACGGGGGTTTAAGAGCGTTTTTGGGCGATCGTTTTACCGATTTCAAATCGCTTCTCCAGCCTATAAATCTTCAATTTAAAAAGAATAAAATAAAGTAGTTCTGTCTAAAACTAAAATAAATTTGCTATCTCGATTATTTCCAAACTTTTCCTTAACGCCTTAGTTGTAAGTTTCATATTACATTTTTTTTTATTTGCTATTTCTGTGGAATCATTAATTTTCACATGCGTTATTGTTCTTCTAAAAAAACGAAATGTTACTCACGTTTTGCTTGATTGGCTTTAATTTTTGAGATAGTCAACCAGTCGAAATAAAAAAAATTCAAAAAATAATAAGACATATTATTTAATCAGTTTTGTCTGAGCCCCGGTCTGAGCTAACTAAAAGGCTGTATTCTATAAACAATGAAAAATAGTGATTGTTTTTTGAACTACTTAAAACATTTTCACTCAAACTGCGTGCGTGATTCAATTTAAAAATACTTTCCAGAATAAAACCACGTGTTACAGTTTTTACTTTATTTATTACTAAACAGCCAAGTCATATACAAAAACATTAATCCAAAATCTAAATTAAAAGTACCTAATAATAAATTGCCTATCTACTAGGGTCGGTAACCAAACGTATAAACAGAATGGGCGGATTTTGTTCATACTTAACATTACACTCCGCACTGACACTTAACCTGGATTAAATACAAATATTTACAAACAAATATACTTTTCCAAACACTGATAATTTATAAAAAAAATGTTTTTTATAAGATTTTCTTTTATGTTCAAAGTTAGGACTTTATAATTATTGTCGTTCGTAGAATTCTGTACTAAATAAGAGCACTGATTTTGGAAATAAATTTTAACCATTTTGGCAAGTTGTTGAACCTTGTAACATTGCATAATGAAATATAAAGACTAACTGAATATGTCTGCCACAGATAGACCACTTGTAGGTCTATCGATTTCGTCTTGAGCTATTCCTAAAGAGCGGAGCTATTGAAAACTTCCTTTCAACGTGATTTATTTCAACACTCAGAGCCAGCCGAGAGAACATTTTTTCTTATATTCATGGTCAACAGCCAAGATACATTTGGAAGTCGCTAATACATCCCTGTGACTATTTTTTTAAATTTGTTTTCCAGTGTTGATTGCTGATTGATTTTTCCCTGATTAGTGATTTTCTTGTTCCTTAACTCAATACCTTGCAAACTGTTGATAGCTTTAATTAAATTTTGTAGCAAAGCTTGTTCAAATTTTGAAAACTATAAAAATATTCAGCTATTTTTATGGTTATAAACTTTTCCAACACTTAGTCCAATTAGAGGTACTTAGATTACATGCAACATTTTCAGAAGCTTATTCCTTTTTTGTATTCTACTTGGAACTTTTCAATTTATTTAAAACATTGGACATTGTTATCAGTTGTTATTGTTTATATATTTTGACATAACCAAAATATTGACCAAAGTCCTTAACCACTTTTTATCACCTTAATCCAAAAATTATATTTGTACGGTTTTGTCAACTGGAATAAATTTTCATTATTATGTTTAATTTTTCATATCTTTTATTATGAATTGTTATTTTTAAATAAATAAAGACGTTTTTAACTATAATAGGTAGGTGATAGAGGCCATGTGCCTGAACGAAAAGAAGACGTAGATGGCGTATCTGCATAGCATTAAAAATTGACTACTTCATTAAATCGTCACTAGATGCCGCTCGAGATTGCGTCCAACACTTTTTACTGTTGCATTATCCTACTATATAATCTTCATACAACGGTAATAGATAGGTACCTACCTCCTACAATCGTAGAGTTTTTAACTGTAAATAAAGACGTTTTAAAACTAAAACTAAACATTTAGAAAAATATTACTTGAATTATTGCCAAGATATTTGAATTTTTAGTTTGATAATTATTTAAAACAGTTAATATTATTTTTAATCAACAATTAGGCATTCCAACGACCTGTCAAACTTAGGTGCCAGTGGGAAATTCTTGTTGATTTAAGGGGATAGCGACATAGTCTTGCAACTTGGACGCTATTTTTATTCGAAGTAGTACTCGCCAAGCCTGCCAATTTATGAAGAAATGTATAGGTGGGTTTTTTAAATATTATTTTTATTGTGTTTGACATAAAATATTTAAATGTAATCCATTATTCATGATTTTACGTAAAGTAGATAGAATACACCATATGTCGCCACCCTTAGATATACCAAACCTGCCCACTGGTAATTCATTTGTTTGGAATGCCTAATAGTATTTTAAAATGTGTATACGTGAAAAAGTCAAAATTCCGTTGTCGATAAAAATAAATCATAATAACCTAAATTCTTAAAATGCCAGAAGTGACATTTGCTGTCAAAAGCTCGTAGTTTCTAATTGGTCGGATGATCTAAAACGATCTGACAACTCTGTATTTATTTTCACCATCTACTTTCTCCTCCCTTGGCTTTCACGTTATTTCAAGAATACCAATTTTTTGAGAAAGTGAAAATAAAGTTAATATATTCCCCGGGGAGTTTCAGTTTCTCTCGTTTTCAAGCATACGCACCCAGATGTCTCCTATTTTTCCCGCTGTTAATTATTTCTATAATTTCTCAAAAACAAAAACATTTCTCCCAAATTACATTACTAAAATTTTCTATATCTAATCCCGATATTATTACGAAATTCTTCCGAAATTTCTATATATTTATTTTTTATTTTTAGGAAGGAATTTGCGACAGCGTCGAATCGGTTTTAGAAAGAACCCCTCTAATAATAAAACCAAGAATAAATCCTCTAACGCTAACAAAAGAACAACTTTTCACTCAAACAACTCAATACGGTCCACAAATCGAAACAACAAACGAAGTTAACACTTGTACAGACACAGATATTGGTCAAAATTACTATTTGCAAAATTTATCACTCACTCAAATCAACGCTTTAGACAGCACGAAGAATAAACTCCAATTGGATATAACACCATGTATAACATTACCAGAAATATCGAAAGCTTTGAATTCCAACGATTTTTTATCATCTTCATCAGCGGTTGATAATAAGAGTATAGAAAGTATAACTCCGGACGATAACAGCTATTTGGGGTTGTCGAAAGTTAATTATGACATCGATTTTTCGGATTTGAGTACGGAAAACAGCGTAGCCGAAGATTTGACTCCGGAGAAAAGGAAATCACCAACTCCGAGCTTTGTAATTGGAGATCCGTTCAGTCCGATCGGTGGGTCTTGTCCTATAGCGCAGACGCCGCTTGTTCCTAGTTCCGTTTTTCCTCAAATCGAGTCGAAGAATGATGGATTTGTTTTGCCGTTTTTGGATGATACCGAGGAGAATGTCGAAGATAGTTTGTTGGATAAAGTTGAAGTGGCACCTTCTGCGAGTTTACCGGCTCCGCTTGTACCGACTTCGTCGGAGTACAGCGGGTTTTCTAAGCAAGGTTCGCGGATACCGAATATTCCTTGCAGTACTGGGGATTTTAGTTCGTTGAATTTTGCTGGGAATTCAAATATGTAAGTTAGACTGAGATGGTTTTTGTTGTATTTTGAAAATGTTTTTATTTACTTGTGATTATAGTTTTAAAGAGAATAAAATTTTGTTTTTCCCACTAATTATTAGTTTCTTTGATGATTGTTTTTATTTTAACCCTTTCAAGACGGCAACCAAAAGTAGGTTGCGTGCCACACGCACGGGAGTTTTTGAAGTGGCTTATAAACGGCTGTCTGATATATACGACGGTAGAAAAAAACAATTTTTATTGAGGAAATAATTAAACAATACAAAATTATTTGGTAAACCAAGTTTAAATTCGTAATATTTAAAGAGCAAACACTAATAATAAACAAACAACAAAAATTATAAAAGAAAAACTTCAAAAATGTAAATGAGAACAGAAACTTTTACTACTACCACTAATATTTAATCTGTTCATGGTATATTTGGAAATATGGTGTAATAGTCCGTCAGATAGTGACAGGTTTAGGTGCCCCATTTTCGCATACAAGCCTCGAAGAGGGTTGAAAAGTACTTCGATTTTAAGTAGAATAAAAGGAAATTTACGAGTGGCTGCTGGGGATAACACGTGGAAAATTCGATTTTCCTTAACAAAAATGAAAGGTTATTTGTTGCCCATTTTTCCACTCAAGCCGTTTTCACTACATGATTAATTAGTAGAACTAGGCTTCAGAAAACCAAAGGCTTTAATGTTGCAAGTGGCTAAAGGGTTGAAATAAGGGCGTAATCTTCTAAGAAAAAATCGAGATTTTGTCCGATTTTTCCACACAAGCCCATAGAATGTATGAAAACGAACCTCGTCATTAGTCCGAAAAACATATTTTCTTGAATGACCCGAATGTATAAGTACATTTTGAGGTCGGAAAATTTTTCTGATAAGGAAAATCGAATTTTCCATGTGTTATCCCCAAGAGCCACTCGTAAATTTTCTTTTATTCTACTCAACATCGATGTACTTTACAACCCTCTTCGAGACTTGTATGCGAAAATGGGGCACCAAAATCGGTCACTATCTGACGGTCTATAACACAGAGCCCAACTTCACAATATTTGCACATGAATCTCGATTCTATTCTCTGTTTCTCACCCTTTGTTGTATGAGAGCAGACCCAGCATCTTCTCAGTTGCGATTTTCCATTTTTGCGAGGAACTTATTCTGAAGGGAAGTGCTTTCCTGATAGCCTAGCCACGTTGGTAGGTTGCATGTTTTGTTTCATTTGGTACTTCGTAGGGGTATATGAAAATCAAAAATGCTTATAATATACAAAAATTGACAAAAACAAATTAATAAAAATACCTTTCGAGAAGCTGCCGGATAACTCTTAAATGTAAGGCAGGAAACAAAATGTTACTGAAGTTCTGTGTCTTATATAAAGCATGGGCATTTAGCATGCATATATCCAGTGTATGGAAAAATAACTTTTTGTACCATTTTAAGGTGTTTCGTGTGCAATCCGTAATGCTAATCATCATGTCACTTCTGTTCTGTCAATTGCTCCCATATTTATATTGTAAGCACTGATCTCACATACTTTGATTACTATACGAGGCAAGAGAGAGGTCCGACACGCCCAACATAGGGCGCGGCCATTTTGAACCCTGTGACACAGTTTACAGCTAAAGAATCAGATCGCTCACTCTGCGTCGGTACTTTGGATCTCAATGTTTCAGTTTATACACTGTGCAACTCGGAATATATGACAACCGCCTATAATAAAACAGCAGTCTTCTGCGTATCCTGAATTTGTATCCCTGGAGTGGATCTTATTTTGGAACTTTCAACTGGTCCGAGTGAGCTAACTGATTCTTTAGCAATAAGCTGTGACTTCAAAAATAATATTCACTGACAGGAGTAAGCAAAATATCAGGTGCGTTTTAATCATTCGCTTCTGCTTCCGGAATTGTCGGTTTAATCGTTTTAACCTGTCAGATTAAAGCAAGAAAACTGACAATTCCGAAGCAGAAGCGGATGATTAAAACGTACCTATTAAAAATATTGCGCCAAGATGTAGGCAACACGTAATAAGGGTTCAAAATGGCGGAGTTTTCTATCTCCTTTTAAAAGGCACTCAGAAAGCTGCGCAGTGCGACCATTCTCCGTATAGTAAAAGAAAATCAAAGTATGTGATTGATCTGCATACAGATCAGTGATTGTAAGCCAAAGAGGTTAGAAAATTTAAGGCCAGTACACATAAGGCACATATAAATTTAGTCAAAATCTAATAATTGGGTCCATGAGAAAATCCTCAAACTAATTTTTTATGTATGTTTAGCGATAATGCTTTACCACCTTGTCCGATTTATATGATTCTTTTTTTGTTAGTAAGGGGGTACTTCAGGGGTGGTCCCACATAAATTTGTTTAAGATGTGGTGATGGCATCTGCACGTTTTTGAAGTCGGTTTTTTTAAATTTTTAATTTTTAAATAATTATACACACTAATGTACGTGTCTATTTTTCTTTAACTCTATAATAAGTGTTCTAGGTTCTAAAATTCTATTCAAGTATAATTGAAAACTATAGTAACCATCTGTTGTTATAATAATGTACATATTTGTAATGACAATACTATTTCAACAATGTCAGTTATAAAATCTTTAAAAACTAAATTTGGCAATAAAATGATGTATATCGATGGTTACTTCTACATACAAGATAGAAAGAAAGAAAGGAGCAGTGCTTTACTGGAAATGTGAAGAATTCAAAACTGGATGCTAAGGAAGACTGATAACATGGAATGGTAAACATAATGAGGTAAGAGAACATGGTCATCCTGAAAAACCGGAGGCAGCCGATGTTAAAGAGGTTTTGGGAAAAATAGACACTAAAGTCAAGTCATCTATAGAAACTCCGCAAGGAATGATATCTGGAGCCATAGCTTCAACAAGTAGTTCTGTATTAGCTCGTATATACCAGCTATTCCAAGCTTGGTGCCTGTAAACATAACGGGCACACGAATTTCGAAAAATTTTTTTAACTAAAAAATAGTACTAACTGTATATATGAAATAACAAAAAAAAAATTTGCGGGTTACGCATAAATAACAGAGAAATTTGAATTTTAACCTTCAGATTTTGGTGTTTCTAACCTAACATTTTTTCAATTTTCGTGTAATGTATGTGCATGGTTATCAAGAATTTCAATTTTTAACAAAACCCAGATTATTAATTGACAGAATCCAATAGGTATTTTTATGAATCGAATACTTACATGTTTGATTTTACTGTCTTTAATCTCATCTCACGTAATTATAGTTACTTATGAAAAATATTTGGTAACTATTGAGAAGACCCCCTTTTCTTAAAAATACAAATTTTTTTACGAAACTTACATTTTAGGCTTTAGGAAGGAGCGTATTTTTCAAATATACCACCGGAAACCCCATAATTTAACGTTTATAAAAATAAATTGCATTTAAAGGCTTACGAGGATCATTAACTGATCATTTATGTAAACTTATTCATTAGAATTTAGAATTATATCTGTCAATTCAAATATTTGCGGTTTTGCCAAGTGTAATTAAAATCAACGAAAAAGAAATTACCCTATTTTTTAAATAGCCATTTCCATACACTTTAAAAAGCATTTCTTTAATTTATTTTCAGTCACATCTGACAATTTATTTAACCATTTTGATTGAATTGTTGTGGTACATAATAAATAATATTACATCATCTATAAAGTAATAAACAAGTACTTTTCAAAAATTTTTAAACATAATTTTATTATCACTTTATATTAGGCATTCCAAACAAAATGGCTACCCGTTTAAAATGACAGGCCACTGACAGGTTATAATAATATGGCAGCACTGTGGGTCTGTTGATTTGATAGGATCAATGTTATAGACAGTTATATAGATTGATCATCCATGTATTTCAAAATAAACATATGCTTATGCCTTAAAGTAAAAATGTAGGAAATTATACTTTTAATATATTCTAAGGTTGGAAATTGGTTTTAAAACACATTTTTCCAAAATCGATTCAAATTAATGGAGACTTGCCAGCACTGATCTGTATTATTTTACTGGATAGGATATAGCCCCCTAAAAAACGTTCCGAAAAATTGGCCGATTTGGGCAAATAATATGGCGGACCGGATGTTATTTAACGTAACCTCTATTTCCATTTGTCATTTAATTGTGTCAACAAGCTACGATGAGATGTTTTTATTGTGGAAAACAAAGTAAAAAGAGTATGAAATAAACAATAAACGTTCATTCCTGAAGACACAATATGATTCACGTTTCCATTTTTATATTTTCTTTCATAAAAAATCAAATCATAGGTGAAATTTCCCGAAGGACATCGCCCGCAAAAGGAATAGAAGAAGAATAAGAAGAAAAACTAATCAAATTATAGGTTAGGTATGTCAAATTATCCCAAATTTCAGTTCTGTGAACCCACCATAATTTGCCCAAATCGGCCAGAATTTTTGCACTTCCGGTCTCCTTGGTGGAACGATTTTTTAGTATGTTAAATATAGCCTATATCCTATCCAGTAAAATAATACAGATCAGTGCTTGCCAGGCAATATGGCCGCTCGCAAAAAACACGCTTTGAGCAATCTATATAACTATATATGTATCATCGACTCCGTCAATGACAACAGGCCCACAGGATTGCCATATCTAAATTTTGATTTATTTTATACATTTTTTATCCAAAATACTTTTTGTAAACCTATCATAATTAAAAAAAATTAAAAAGTTCATTGACACCTACGCCATAAAAGCACGCTCGCCCTCCTACGTCCTAACTATCTTAGAAGCGATTGTGTTTGGTTATTGTTTCGAAATTCGCAAATGCCCTTTTTACACCTACACCGTAAGAGCACGCTTCGCTGGTAGCACCTGCTAACCACTAAAGGAGCACGCGAGCGAAGCGAGCGCCCTTTTTGCACCTGTATCATAAGAGCACGAATCGCTCGTTCTACCCACTTTCTAACTACTAAAAAGCAAGCGAGCGCGCCCGGCCGACGTTTCGAAATTCGCAGCGAATTTCGAAACGTCGGCCGGGCGCGCCCTTTTTGCACCTGTATCATAAGAGCACGAATCGCTCGTCCTACCCACTTCCTAACTACTACAGAAGCAAGCG